TTCTAAAAAAAATCTGGCATGTCTCGCACCCCCAGGGGGTGCATGCACCCTAGGTTAAGAAGCACTGCTTTCAGAGGTTACTTTTTATACCCTTTAACAAACACATGCTGTCACTTCCCATTATGGACTCCAGCTAAAAACCAATTTGAGACCATTCACCCTTATTTCCAGTCTTAACACAGATAAGATTTTACAATCTCCTTTCTCACCAGGTCTCTCCTCCTCTCCTTCTTGATGACCAACAGTTTTTCTTTTGCACCTGGGTTCACACAGGCCCTAAATTTTGAGATAACACTGGTATGTGTGGTGGGAACGACCATGCTGGATCATTTAAAGACAGATTTATTTTGTTTTATTTAAAACCATCTGCAGTCACCTTTATTGGTCAGAGGCCTTCTTTTTAGAAGCTTGCCCTTATTTCATTAGTTATTCTTTGAACCAGACATCCTTCCTACTTCATTCCTTCTGACCTTTTAAATTATTATTTTCAAGGCATTCCTTCTACTTGCAAGTCAGGTCCTTTCTTTACAACACATATATAGCTCCTTGAGCTAACTCTAATTCTTTAATTTCATATTTATCTTACACAGGGTAACTGGTCTAGTGGATAGGAGGAAGCAGTAGATGTGATACAGCTGGACTTTAGTAAGGCTTTTGATACAGTCCCATATGAGTCTCATAAGCAAACTAGGGAAATATGATCTAAATAAAATTACTAGAAGGTAAATGCTTGTGAACTGGACTTCCGATACAACAGAGGTACCTGCTGCCTAAGAGAGCTGCGGCTGTGGTGGTTTTTTAAGTGAAAGCCTGGGCTTGGGAGGAATTTGGAAAGACCATGGAGAACGACTACCAGATGGTCTCAAAGGTGTTCTGGCAAACCATTTGTCACCTTAGGAGAGGTCAGCGGGACATTGCTTAGGCTGTTCCCAGCAAGGGTGGTTAAACGCTGGCCTCAACTGAGGAGATTGTTGAAAGCACTTTGAGGAACTCCTCAACCCAGTGGACACGCCCTCCTTTCAGGAGGCGGTGCTGGAACTCCCCCGGTGAGATCGGATCTATTTCTATTGTAGAGGTCACTACAGCAGTAAAGTGCCTTCGAAGTGGTAAGGCAACTGGGGTGGACATGAGGTGGAAATGAGGTTTCTCCACAGGGTGGCTGGGCTTACTCTCTGAGACAGGATGAGGGGCTCAGCTATTTGGGAGAGCCTCGGATTAGAGTTGCTACACCTCCGGATCCAGAGGAGCCAGCTGAGGTGGTTCGGGCACCTGATAACGATGCCCCCTGGAAAGCTTCCTTTGGAACTCTAACGGGCATGTCCCACTGGGAGGAGGCCCCAAGGCCAACCCAGTAGATGCTGAAGGGGTTATATCTCCTGGCTGGCCTGGGAATGCTGGAGAACATCCTCCCGCCATCCCTTCCAGGAGGCGCTGGAAACTGTTGCGGAAGAAAGGGAAGACTGGTCCTCCCCACTCTCCATGCTGCTGCCGCGACCCTCACCAGGAAAAAGGCATAAAGGAAAAAGAAAAGTAAATGCATAACTGGCTGAAAGACCATTCTCAAAAAGTAGTTATTAATGATTAACTGCCAAACTAGAAGGATGTATCTAGTGGGCTTCCGCGAAGGTCTGTCCCTGGGTTTGGTATTATTGAATATTTTCATTAAGGACTTGGAGGGCAGAGGGGATAGTATGCTTATAAAATTTGCAGATGACTTCAAGCTGAGAGAGGTTGCAAGCACTTTGGAGGACAGGATTAGAATTCAAAATGATCTTGATGAATTGGAGAATTGTTCTGAAATCAATTAGATGAAATTCAATAAAGATGTGCAAAGTACTACACTTAGGAAGGAAAAATCAAATGCACAAATACAAAATGGAGAATAATGGACTAGGCAATAGAACTGAAAAAAAGGATCTGGGGATAATAGGGGATCACAGATTGAATACGAGTCAACAGTGTGATGCTGTTGTGAAAAAGACACGTAATATGTAAGACATGGGAGACTGGTGAGGCATCAGGTGTACTGTGTCTACTTTTGGGCACCACACTTCAAGGCAGATGTAAACAAATTGGAGAGACTCAAGAGGAAAGCAACAAAAATAATAAGTTTAGAAAACATGACCTTTCTAACTATAAGTATAATTATACACGCAACAAGTTACCTAGGAAGGAGGTGGAGCCCCCATCTTTAGAGGTTTTTAAGAACAGGTTAGACAAACATCTGTCAGGGATGATCTAGATAGATCTAATTCTGCCTCAATGTAGGAGGATGGACTAGACCTCAAGGGCCCTTCCAGCTCTACATTTTTGGATTATGTGTTTTGCTTATTACGATATTTTGAAAAACTAGATTAAAACACATTTTTTATAATTTTGAAAAAAAAAGTTTAAGCATTGATTTTAATGGGGTTTCACATTATGGGTTTGCCCACGCAGAGCAGCTTTCAGGATCAGGCCTTTAGACTGCAATATTACATTCTTTGCATCACTTTAGGTATGAGCTCAATCATTCAGCAATACATGCAGCAGGAAGGACAGAGAAATATTAACATGGTGAAACAGGCCATGGCGTTGCTAAAATCTGACTTCTCAGATTTCTTTTAAAAATAATCTTAACCTTGAATTGTGTCAAGGGAAAATAGTATGTAGCTCATTAGTGCCACCTATTGCATGTTTCTGGAAACAAGATACCAATCAACAATACACGTATACTAGTGTACAATATCTGCATCTTATGGTTAACCACTTTGAAGTTTCTTAACTCATCTTTTAAAATTTCTAATTACATATTTCATTTGGGATTGCTTCATCTCCTGAACTTCCTACAACTTTCCCCTCATTTCTATAATTTACTACAAATAGATACAAGCATTTCTTTACAAACATACTGCAGAGAAGAATCACATACTGTAAAGTATTTGCATGTCTTAATATATAGCATTAGTAATGCTTTACATGTTCAAGGCACTGCACAACCATTAATTAATTAATGGTCACAAAATCTCTTTGAGGTAAATAAATAGAAATCTATAAAATACTTATCTTAACCATATTCCAAACATAATTTAATCAAAACCACTTGCTCCCTCATTTTCTTTTGTTGAACAGTATTTTTTCAATAGTATTAGCAAATGTTAAAACATTTAGAGAATCCTCAGTCTCTTTTTTGTTTTAAATCTGTGGTAACTCTGCATATAGAATTTAATTTGCATCCCCCTCCCTTAGTTGCATGTTTGCTTATCAACAGGTGTTGGATCAGGCCAACTCCTGTTTGGCTTACTCACACAAATAGTCCCATAAATTGAGTAATTAAGCAGAGCAGGATTTGGTCCCAAGAGCATTTTTAAAGTGATTCTCAATTTTTGCTGTGGGTAATGTGCTGTTCATTGAACTGCATGTGCCTTTCCTAAAGTTCTGCTGCTTTTGCTATGAAACATTCTACTGAAATGAATGTTACTTAGTGAAGTGTAAACAACTGGGAGAACTACTCAGTTATATTAACAATAGAGCGGATCAGAAACGTTTTCACAAACTTTTTAATGAAAAATACCTGATTACATTTTAGTGATTTTTCAAAATTTTTCAAAACTAAATGTTTTTGAAACTTTTAAATTCTCCCCCCAACTGGAAAAAACCACACACTCTCACTTTTCTTTCACTCCTTCCTTTTTCCCCCCAGCAGGAAAAAAAAAGTATTGTTTCCACTTACACAAAACTGAAATGTAGGGGGGAAAGTATTGAAAACCCCAAAAATATTCATAGGAAGTTTTTGAAAATGAAAAATTCATTTTTAAATATTTCATGAAATATACTTATCTGTTTTCAACCAGCTGTAATTAAGATGTGAAAGTATCAAATTAAGATAAAAGCAATTTTAATTATCTGAATTTATGCTTTCAGTTTTCACACAGCAGAACCACCAATTATCCTAATTATTCTATACCAGAGGTTCTCAAACTGTGGTCCAGGTGGTCTGTGGATAGTTCTCTGGGTGGCTGCACACAAGAGAATGAAGGACCACCCACCTAATTAGTGGAACCACCCACCTAATTAGGTGCCTGGACCCTGGAGAAGACACACATGTAAGGTGAGCTGGCAGCCTTGGGGGGAATAGGAGGTAGGTAGGAAGGGGAAGTGGGGTGAGGGGAATTTGGGATATGCAAGGCTGTGGCGGCCAGAGAAAGAGGTGACTTTCCCCAGTTCCAGGGCTGTGGCTACCAGGGAGAGATGGCCCTCCTTTCCAGCTTCAGCTCTGTGGCGGGGGAGAGAAACCCCCTCCCTGCCCCAGCTTGGGGGCTGCCGCAACAGGGGAAAGAGGGCACATCCATTGCATTAGAAAGGTAAGACTACTGATATTAAAATATGAGTTATGTGCTTTAAAAGTTAAGGGTTTTTTTAATATAGCATTTTATCCAAAGTGCTTTACAATAGTTAGTTAACGGTACAAAGAACATTTGGAAAGATCATTAAGTGGTCCACGGAGACCCTCAGCAATTTTCAAGTGGTCCACAGAAAAAAAAGTTTGAGAACCACAGTTCTACACCATTTTACTGTTATGAGTCAAACTCAGATGGTGATTTAAACTATGCAGCTGGTGTAAATTGATCAGCAAAAAAGTGTGAAGTGATCAAGAAGCACTCTTCGCATGCATTTAGCATCTAAGCTCCATTTCAACAAGGTACTTTAAGCACAAAATTCAACCCTATTTGGCAAAGCACTTAAACACCTGGTTAATTTCGGGCACGTGCACAATTTCCCCGAATTTCCAGGGACGCTTAAGCCCCACTGATTTCCTTGAGGTCCATGGGGACTGTGCCTCCTTGAGCGCTCTGCTGAAGAGGGAGGGGATTACTCACGTGAGCCAAGTGAGGCCGCAGGTTCACTGGGGCCGGGGCGGGGCATTGGATAGGTGCCAGCCAGGGGAAAAAATTCTCTGGGGGAGCGTTAAGCGTGAATAGCCTGGCCAGGAACGACCGGGTCCTGGCCCTTTGTCTTACCTCCTCCGTTATTCGCTGGTTTTCCAGCTGCACCCCGGCCCCGCGCTCTCCACCCACGGTTACCCCAATACCCCAGCACAGCAGGGACGATGTTGAGCCCATGACACCAGGCAGCCGCCAATCCAGGCCCGCCCCTGCCCCTGCCCTGAGCAGCTCTAGAGACCCCGCGACTCCCGCCTTCCCGGGCTGGCCGCCGCTCCCCAAGTCAGGCCGCGGCCTGGCCCCGCCCTTCCCTTTAAACCTCCCGCGCCCGCCAGCCAATCGCGGCGCTGCCTGTTAGCACCCGCACATTCCACGCGCCGGGCCCGAGACAGGCACTGAGCAGCTCCAGTCCCAGCCCGTCGCCTCTTGGGTGGCCAGTAAGTCGGCACGGCCGCTTGCCCACTCCCCTCCCGCCTGCCCTGACGTTAGCGCCGCTTCTCTTCCCCGCGGCGAATCTGCGCGACCCGTCCCGCCGCTAACATAGTTTGGGCGGTTGTCAGGGAGAAACAAGATGGCGGCGGCGGAGGAGGACACGGAGCTGCGGGACCTGCTGGTGCAGACGCTGGAGAGCAGCGGGGTACTCAATAAAATCAAGGTATTGGCGGGGGAGGGGTTTGTCCCCTGGGGCGCGAGACACATGCGTGTGTTGGGGGAGGGGGGGAGCGGGCGGAGCCAATTGCACTAACGGTACTAACCGCCACTCCGCCCGCCCCGCGCCATGAGGGGGAGGCGGGGCCGGGGACTCGGTTCGCTTCCTCCTGCGCCGCCCCTACCCCAGCTGGGAGCTGCTAGGCCCAACGCCGCCCCCGGGAGTCCGGGACGCGATCGCCGCACCTGCCTGGCCTACGGGGCCCGTGGGTTAGGCAGGAGCCGTGGCGAGCCTCTGCCCTGCGGGATGGCGCTAGGGGATCTTGCGCGCCCGGGCAGCGCCGCAGGCCTCGCCCCTGACCCACCCGGAGCGAAGGGCTCGTGAAACAAACGTTCCTGGGGGCGCGGGGGATCGGCCGGTCCGGGATCGCGCTGACCCGGCGCTGCGCTCGCTGCGTTGGGGGCGAGTTTGCTCCCCACGCTCGCGTGGCAGCTCCGGGCCCAGGGCGCGCCTGGCAAAGCCCAAGCCAAGCAGCAGCTGGAGCGGGTCTGCCCGCTCCGAGCCCTTCGATGCTGCAAGCAGAGGCCGTCCAACGTCCCGCTTCAAATAGGGCCCCTTCTAAATGTCCGTGGGCCTGACCCGTGTTGCCTTATTGATGGATGCGTGTATTGATTACCGATTGATCTTTTCGATTGTATTGGTTAAAAAAGAATCGATCTCCTGAGGGTTACAGCTGCAGGAATAGTATTAGGGCACGTCTTCACTACCCGCCGAATCGGCGGGTAGCAATCGATCTATTGGGGATCGACTTATCGCGTCTAGTGAAGACGCGATAAAATTGATCCCCGATGGCTCTTCCGTCGACTCCGGAAATCCACCACGGCAAGGGGCGGAAGCGGAGTCGACGGCGGCGCGGCAGCGGTCGACTCGCTGCCGTCCTCACAGCCAGGTAAGTCGACCTAAAATACACCACTTCAGCTACACTATTCACGTAACTGAAGTTGCATATCTTAGGTCGACCCCTCTCCCCCCGTAGTGTAGACCTAGCCTTAGTATTAAGAGAGCTAGGTGCACGCAAGAAACACTAAACAGATAAACAATCCCACAAATACTAAAATACAGTAGCAGATAAAAAGATAGTGCAAAGGGTTCAGCTGTGTGACCAGCATCTCTCACATCTCCCAGTGGGAGTCCCTGGCGTGTCAGTCATTATTTGCCTCATCCTTATCATCACCCATGGTTGTCATCCTGGTGTCTTCCCATGCATTTCTTCCTTCCGCACACAGGCCGGCCAACCCCTCTTATTCGGAGTCATGCTTGCACCCACTAAGGCTCATTCATATGCATAAGGGTTAGTGACTGCATGTTATAAACTGTGAGCCTTTCTTTGGTTGCTAACCCTTGGATTTCCTTTATATGAGGTTAACCACCTTGTTGGTTTCTTCTTGGGTCACATAATTTCTTTTAATTCTTTTGACATCCCCAGGTTGCAAATTGACATTCCCATTCAAAATAGACCTGTGAGGCTTCACAGAATGCCAAAAGGATGAATTCCTTGTTTGTTTCTGGGTATCTTTTATTCTTGGCTGCACCTGTGTGTCTGAATTGAGCTGGAGTCTTGCAAATCCTGAGGACAGCCTCACTGTTTGGGCCTGACTCAAATATGGTTAAGGCTTGTGCATGCTACAAGGGAGAGCCATGTGTAACTGGGTTTGGGATTGGCCTCGTTGTAACTGAGCCCTTTGAATGGCTCATAGACTGGGTCTGTGTTCGCCAGGATACGAAGCTGTGGTTCTAGGGATTCCTGTCCAGACAAGAAGCTTAGACCAATACACCTCAATTGGGACCAGCATAGTAAACCTATTGGATCATCCAGTCACTCTCCCAGTTGGAGTGTAAAATTAGCACCAAGGAATTTATTTGGGCAAATGTAAGGGGATTAGAAAAACCTGAAGTTGAAAAGTATATAATGGCAGAGGGAAGTCACTAACTTTAAAGATCAACTTGGTTTGGTGAGGTGTGTGTCACACTTCAAGCAAAACTGCAATTGAAACATTACTGTCCCATGTAGTTTGAAATAATTATGCTATTTTTTGCTTCCTTTCTTAAATTTCATTCATATATAGTGAGCACTTTTCATCTATAAGATCATATGTAAATATAGTTGATTATAGTATAGTTACTACTAGTAGTTGCTAGTTCAATTTAATTTCTTATGTAAAACCTTCCTTTCTCTCTCTCTCTCCGTGTGTGTGTGTGTATCCTTGCATAAATCCTTCCGTTCTAATGTCCTGCAAATTGTAATTAGGCTTGGAAAGTTTTGATTTTTATCAATAAATGTTGGTAAACATTGATTTCGCCAACATAAACAAACAAAGAAATATTTTATCAATATTTGAAATTAACAATTAGGCAAAGTAAGAAAAATGCTGCTTGAGAACTTCTTAGAGTTTAATTTTAGGATGTTTACTTTATATGTTTTGACACGTGACGTTGACAATTTGTGTTTTAATGGTAATCTTTTTTATATCTTGATGTTTACTGTCGTTCTCTAATCACCCATAACTTCCTGCAACTGTGAAAATTAAATAGATAAAAACACTGAAAAATAAAGTTTAAAAATACACGTTGGATTTATGGTTCAAAAGCATTTGAAAAAATTGGACTCTGCCAAGTCTATTTATAATACAGAAACTCACAGTAACTGATAAGGTTAAATGAAGCTGGCCTTGGTTAAGATAAAAGTAGCGAGAGACTCTTAGAAGTTACATTACATCCTACTCCTCACATGGCCCCTGTGCCAAATGTCAATGGTTCCTGTAGCTTCTGCTGATAGCTTTTTTTTGCCAGTGGCTCCCCCTGATGCCATGCTTCAGCCAGGGCTTTGGAGCTGTGCTCCGGCTCTGCTCCAGCTCCAGGCAAAAACCTGCTGCTCTGCTCCAAAGCCCTTCCCTGAAATTGGCAGTTTTCATATCTTAAACACAGTATTCTAAATGGCCATGTAGTAGCAGCCATCTGGATGGGGGTAAGCACAGACTTTTGATAGGTAGTTGTGGTAATTTATGGGAGTTAGGCTACTTCTATTGACCGATTTTGATAGGCATTTCCACTTCAAGTTGGTTTATATCATGCATAAGGAATTTTTCTTACAGCACATTAAATGTAATGATGCTCAACATATTGCTTGCTTGAGTATTGTGTACCTGTTAGTACTTTTTTTTTTTTTTTTTTTTTTTTTTATTTTTTTTTTGGAAAACAAGCTATGCTCTGATATTTCATATTTATACCTCAAAATTAAACAGTCTACTTTCCAAGGATGGGTGAGGGTAAAAGCTAGAAAGTAAGGCATAGAAGGATGTGTTCAATATCATGTGGAGATCAGTAAGACCTACATGAGAGCAAACTATAAGAAGGGTATGTATGTGAGTCTGATGCAGATGAAGTAGAGAGAATGTGAACTTGTCATAAGAGACAAATGTGGAAGGACTCTAGTTAAAATAGAATATATTCAATAGAAGACGTATTGTAAAGGTGACCAACGATAAAACTGGGGAAAATATACAAGACCTATTTGGTTAGTTTTAGGCTTTCTACAGAGATTTGTGAAGGAACTTGTCCTGCAGTAGTTTGTATGCGGTTGTAATAATAATAAATGTAGTTTGCTCGGTTTTGGCTTTTCTTTATATTAATATCTTGTGCACATTGGCATTTGTGTAAGTTATTTAACTTGACAATGCAAAATGTCTGTTACCTTTTAAAACAGTTTAGAGTAATGCTGGGCAGTTATTTTAGAAGTGTTATATTTTATTTACTAGTCTTTGAGCACAAGAGAATGAGTAAAACCTTAATTTGTACACTGGCCGATACTTCAACATGAATAATTGATATATTGGCCACTTGCAATTGATACACATTTCTTCTTTTGCTGATACACATTTTGCTGATACACACTTCTGAAATTGAAATATATAATATTAGTGTTCATAATCCATGAGCATGAAATTAGTTAATATTCAAAAACTACCCAGGTGTGTTTTTCTTCCTGTTACTTCATGTATTCTTGTGACATGTTTCTACAAAAGCCTGTTCTTCACATTCGTACTCTTATTACTTGTTTGCACTAAAACGGACTATGTGGTGTGTGCTGTACAAACACAAAAGAAGACTTGGGCCCTGTTCCGAAGAGCTTGTGCTTTTTCTTTTCGTTTCTTTTCTTCTTTCAGGGAGATAGTCTTCATATGAAAAAGGAAGGCCTCTACTCTTTCCCTTCCCCCACCCCCATATCCTGCTTTACAACCACTATTTTCTGACTGGATGTGACTTGTTCAAAATCATTTTATGCTCCTTTAGTTGGGTGAAATGTCACTAGTGACATGGGGTTTGCAGCACTCGCAACACCTCTTGGTCATAGCAATAGAAGAGCAAGACTCTTTTGACAGCATAAAGCTAACAGCAGCCTTGATAAGTCAGTTTTATTAGTTCAGCCTAAAAACTATTTCTGTTGGGCAGTTATCAGGATTGCCACAACAAAGGGTTAAAAAAAGAATAAAATGATATTAATTGTTAAGATGGTATGAAGTTGATTCTTTATTTTAAAGAACTTATTAGTTTCCACAGCTTCTCCTGTCACGGTTCAGGGCAACTGCACCTATATTCCCCTCCATGGTCCATGAAGAGCACCCACTCGAGGACCCAGGCTAATCAGTCATGACCTCTCTTGGGTAGAGACCTGTGCGTCTCTCCCTCTTGACCAGGGTTTTTCCAGGGCTGCATGGTTTCCTGCCATAGTTTCCTGTGGTATCACTAGCAAGCCAGACTGCCCAAACAGGCCAGCATCTGCGCCTGTATTTCTCTTTGAAGGCTATAAATAGCTGTGATTGCCAGTAGTCACAAGTTACCACACAGCTCTTTCTAAGAAGCACACTTATTCTTAAGGCAGAAGCATTACAGAGAAAATATATTAAAAACAATAAAAGAATCTACACCCATGCAACCAAGCTTATCAAAGATCACTCCCCACCAAACACAAAAAGGACTCTGGTAGGAGTCAGTCCTTCAAACTCAACCAAGGGGTTTTTCTGTGGTTACAGTTTAGTAATAGCTTAAGCTAGCACACCCATGAATAAGTTGGTCTTTTCTTTATACAGCTTGAACTTTTGATCTTGAGACTCCAGGAACAGATAATCAGCAGACAGTGGTTGTCTCCTCATGGAGTAGTTTCAGAAGGCTGAGTTTTTGCATAACTGGAGGTGGGGAATTTGCATTCACTTCCCCCTGGAGATTTCACCAGGCAAACCACTTGACAACGTTTGTCCCAGAAGTCCATTCTTGTCTGGCACATTGTTCAATGTAGTTCATAACCCTTTGAAGTTCATAACCCTTCACAAGGTTCACATCCTGTCTCCCCTCTAGGAGAGTGGTTATGTACAGTCCTGGCCCAGACCATTTAAAACCGTGGACTCCAAATATACTTAAACTTAATAAGGTCTCCCAAGGATATTGCAGAAAAGATCATATCTGTCATACCATCCATTTATTATAAAGCACATTTTAAAATGTCTATTAATTACTAATTGCCTGTCATACTCAGCACATTTTGTACTATTTGGTCTCACAGGGTGTAATCTCCAGTCTTCCCATCCCTCTTACACGTATTGTTACAGAAGCACTTCACTTCAGGAGGACAGCTTATTCATTAAACTGGAATGACTGTATAGGTACCATTATAAATAATGTTAACTATACTTTTAGCATTTTTTAGCTTCTTCGAAGTAAATGAGTATTTTTAAGAAATAATTGTTCATATTTTAAATTTAAAACTTGTGCTTGAGCTGATTTCAAGTGTTACCCACTCTACAAATAAAAAGAAGGGATCCCCTACTTTGTTAATGACATGAGAGCCAGATCTGCTTGTGGCACATGAACTAAATCACTATGATAGGATCTTAGCAGGGATACTTATTTGCATTGATGTAATGTAGATTTCTAATAGGACTGGGGGATCACTTCGTATGTGGCTCAGGAGGAGATGTCACCAGAGGCTAGGGTGACCAGATCGCAAGAGTGAAATATCAGGACACATTGGGCAAGCGGGGTGGGGGAGACGACGGTAGACACAGGTGCACAGCCCCAACCAGAGCCATGAGAGGGGGGCACACAGTCCTAGGAAGCTGCAAGAGGAGTTGTACGGCACCTGCTGCAGCCTGCACCACAAGCCACAGGGCAGGACACCCAGCTCCAGCCCCCAGTAGAAACCACGGGGCCAGGGGCACAGGGCTCCGGCTCCAGCCCCCGGCTGAAGCTGCAGGACCGGGGCACAGGATCCTAGTTGCAAAGTCAGATCCAGTTGCAGGGCAGGGAAGCGAAGGGTCCCAGTTCTAGCTCTGGCTCTAGCCGCAGTCACAGAGGTGAGGCCTCCAGTCCTGCCTTCAGCCACTGACAGGTGAAGCAAACTACGTCACAGAGGTCTGGAATCAGTGAGTCTAAATTATAGACTTAGTCGTAATACATATTTAAACATACAGATTTATTTGTACACTAAACAAACCACAGGGGTAAAGGGCCAGGTTTTTTATTCAGTCAATAAATCAACTTCCCAATTTGCATACCTCTCAGATATGCCAGAAGTCTAGTACTTCTTGGATGACTTTGCCCATAGTCATGACTTGCTTCTGGGCAATCACAAAGCTGTAGAAGTACTTGCAACTCATCCGGAAATTCATTTTGACAAGGGTTTCACTCGCACCAAATCTATGCTGCTTCGATTCTGGACATCAGTCCATGCACCTTTCATGATTGAAAATACACACTCTGAGTATGCGTTGCTTACGGGTATACTGAGCACGTACGACACCAGCTTTGCCATGTTCAGGAATTCAGTGTTACTGTCCTTGTTTCTCAGCACTTGAGACCAGAGTTCCCCAACTGAATAGTTTCCAGGTTCCAACTTGGAGTTGATGTCTTTGATGATACAGTATTCATCATAGAGCTGATCAAGATCCACTGTTTTCTGAAGGTTTACAGCTGTCACGGCCGCAGACAGATCCTTGTATTCGAATATCCTATTAACTTTGATGTTCAAACACTGGGTATTGAACAAGTAGCCAGTTGTTGAAAAATCAAACCATTTCTCCAAATATAGGATCGACACATCGTAAAATTTCATGAAGTCTTTCTGGAGACATGTAGCAGTGACAGGCAGCATCTCAGTTAATGCATTTTCAACTTTGGAGCCAAAGAATTTGTAATTTTTCCATTGCTGAAGTTTAATTCTCAGAGTATTAATTATGGCATACACTTCACATGCTGTCATACTCTCATTTTCCAATCAGAGCACAGTATCATTGAATATTATATTCAAATTGTGGGGAGAAAATAGTGACTGCAAAAATATGGTTTCTTTTTTAATTTGATAGGCAGAACTACGAGCAGCTGTATTTTTGGCACTTGAAGAGCAAGAAAAAGTAGAGGTAAGGAGATAAAATAATGTAATTTCTACTTCAGCTTTCAGTAAATGCTTAATGCAATAAAAAGTACAAAAATACAAATAAAAAGTTCGTTTTTTGTCACGTTGCCAAAAGTATGTTGATAATCTTAAATTCTTACTGATTTCAGTGGTAACAGGATCAGGCTTTAAATATGACAACAGAAATACCAAGATTTTACTCAAAATTTTCTAGTTTTTTAGATGTTTGGGTCACAACAGTGACACAAAGTGTTTGGAGTTTTTCTTAAAAACTCCATTCACAGAAAAATATAAACTGTCTCTTTTCTATTTTTTACTTTTTATAAGATCTGGTTAGATTCATAACATCTCATTTACAATTGGTTAGCTCTCTTGGGTAAATATTGATCTTGGCTAGTTTTCAAATAGCATGTTATCCAGTTGTCCAGAATGACTCTAAAGAGGATAGGAAAGAGACAAGGTGAATGAGGTAATATGTTTTATTGGACCAGATTTTGTTGCTGGAAGAGACAAGCTTTTGAGCTTCACAGGTCCCTGAAGAAGAGCTCTTGTCTCTTCCACCAGCGGAAGTTAGTTCAATAAAAGATATTAGCTCACCCACCTTATCTCTGTGTCATCCTGGGACCAACACGGCTGCAACAACACTACAAACATCTAAAAAAGATACTCCAGTCCATCAAGTGTGTTCATAAATTCTTTTAAAATGCTTCTTATTTACCCAATCAATATCATATCTGATCATAATAGACTTCTGAAATGTAAAAGATGGAAATACTTTCAAAAAGCACATTATCAAAAATTAATTAATGCATGCAGTTGCCAAGAGTACTTCTGCATTTTTTAAAAAACATTCTGAAGGAACTTTATCAGTTTACTCATGTATAAGCTTACATTTAAAATTAGAGCCTCTGAATTCTAAATATAAAGTTTTAAGAAAACGTATTTCTCATTTGCAAATTTCTGTGCTTTTTGTGCTTCTGGTGACTCTGCAGCAATAGTTAACACAGACAAAGGCTGTCCCTGGAGATGTACAGACATCATTATTAGACTGATTCATGAACAGTGATATTTTGGTATGCTGGTGATCTTGGTTTAGAATTTGTCATTATCTAAATTGTATAGTGATTTTTCAAACCAAAAACTGCATGTCAATTTCTTCTTGATTTTAAAATGTAAGTTAAATAGAACAGATCTAGTAGGGGAAATTAGCACTTAGACCCTTGCAGGAAGGTATTGCAAAAAATAGAAAATAAAATTATTGTTTAGTAATCCCATGTTAACTAATAGTTTAGTCCATATTTTGCCGGAAGAATCTGCAAATTCTATTTTAAAAAACAGAGCGAGTGCAAAATAGTTGGGCTGTCAAGCAATTTAAAAAACTAATCGTGTGATTAATCATACTGTTAAACAACAATAGACGTTCGTATGCCCCTTCATGATATCTGGCACGGCGATACCTTGCAATGCTGGTTACAAAAGTCCCATGCGAATGCCTGGTCTCACTTTCTGTTGACATTGTAAATAGGAAGAGGGCAGCATTCTCTCCTGTAAATGTAAACAAACTTGTTTGTCTTAGTGACTGGCTGAATAAGAAATTGGGCTGAGTGCACTTGTAGGCTCTAAAGTTTTACATTGTTTTATTTTTTGTACATAATTCTACATTTGTAAGTTCAACTTTCATGATAGAGATTGCACTACAGTACTTGTATGAGGTGAATTGAAAAATACTGTTTCTTTTGTCACTTTTACAGTGCAAATATTTGTAATAAAAATAATATAAAGTGATCAGTGTACACTTTGTATTCTGTGTTGTAATTGAAATCAATATATTTGAAAATGTAGGAAAAAATTCAAAAATATTTAATAAATTTCAATTGGTATTCTATTGTTTAACAGTGCGATTAAAACTGATTAATCACGATTAACTTTTTTTTGAGTTAATGGGGTCAGTTAACTGCGATTAAGCGACAGCCCTACAAAATAAAATTGGCAAACTTCTATTTTTCAGTACTTGTTTTGCTCAAACTGCTAAACTTGTAATTTATTTAACTGTATGGAAAAACATAACAATCTGTAACCTGCTGAGACTATTCCTACCTATAATAATGTTTCTGTAGCCAAACTATAATCCTCTGGGGGATTATAACAGAAATATCAAGACAGCCTTAATTATGGCCATCTAAATGTGCTGCTTTACTAATTACTACTAGTACACTTAGTCTAAAAGTACATTTTATTTGGTAAAATAGATTATTTAAGCTGTTTATTATACTAGTGAGGCCTGTATGCCCAAAACTCTTGATGAGGTGTTAAATTTCTTTGCAGTACAGGGAAATCCTTATTAATTGTCCTTGATTTTTCATCTTTCAACAGAACAAAACACCCCTGGTAAATGAAAGCTTGAAAAAGTTTCTAAGTACAAAAGATGGTAAGCTTCCCTGTTCATTAACTTATACACTCCTCAGATATTGACAAATATTTTGAAGAAAATGAAGGTAAATCCATTTGCTCTTGTTTTTGCAATATGATCCTGATGTTAGTCATAAACGGATTTGCAGTAAAGATAGAAGCCAGTCCTGCTCCTATTAGATAAATATCAAAACTACCATTGCACATGCTGAAGTCAAGATTGAGTCCAGAGTTTTTAAAACTAATACACCCCTACCTCGATATAACGCCACCCGATATAACACGAATTTGGATATAACGCGGTAAAGCAGTGCTTCGGGGGGGCGGGGCTGCGCACTCCGGTGGATCAAAGCAAGTTCAATATAATGCGGTTTCACCTATAACGCGGTAAGATTTTTTGGCTCCCGAGGACAGCGTTCTATCGAGGTAGAAGTGTATTCTGTTATTGCCATAGTCTCAGTTGAGAGGACTGATTTCTGTAGGTATTTGAATTAATTGTCGAGGAAATTTTTTCCCATTGTTTTGTCATTTGTTGATTTACAATAATTCAATCGAGCCTTTTTAGCACAGCAGAAACAGCAACCTGAAGCTGTAATACGAAAATAGATTGTAGAGCTACAGCATTAAAAGTGTGTGTGGGACAGACACCAAGATTAAGATGTCTTTGAGCTAGATTTTTATTTTATTTTTTTTTATTTTATTTTTTTAAAAGATTAAATGGGGCATGAATTTTAGAAGGAGCTTTGAGTTTTGCTCCAGCAGTTTTGGTTTAATTTAAATGTCTTCCTTATTTGGACTGAGAATTAGGTAGTTAAATACCTAAACCAGACCTGCAGAATTATGGGTGGGACAGAGGAGACCAGATTGAGGATCTCTTAAAAATCAGGTCCTTAATATAAGAGCATTTAATTCTGTTTGATGTACCAAATTTTTTTTTCCTTTTTCTTTTTAGGTCGCTTGGTTGCTGGTCTTGTTGCAGAATTTCTTCAGTTTTTCAATCTTGACTTTACATTGGCTGTTTTTCAGCCTGAATCAAGCACAGTAAGGAAGATATTGTTTTTAATCATATGCTAACTTGACTGTTAGACTCTGAAATGAACAAATGCAGAAGCTTTATTGGATTTGGTTTTGGTCTATACCTGTTACTCAAATTTATATGCTAAATATCAGCTGTACATGCATCCCTACACTAACCCAAGCCATAGACTGTCACAAGTACAGAAAAAGGATGCTTATGTAATTGATTATTCATAGGTTGTTGTTGTTTTTTTTTTCCCCCCCAAAGTTGACTCTGCTAAAAGCATATGTGCTTCATCAATTCTTTTCTACCTCGGTCATTTTAAAATAAATTAGTTTTGTCTGTGGAGCTATCTGTGCTCATAACAGTCAGGGATTCTATTAATCGAATAGTGACATTCCTTTGGCCTGTGTGCCAAATTTTAAGTCTCTATCAATGCAGCAATACTGAATTGAGAGTAAAATAACTCACTGTATAATGCCAGAAAGTGGTTGTGCTGTAAGAGAAACTGGAGGAAAAACAAGTGATTGTATGCAAATGAGCCAAACAACACAATAAGCAACAAGGTTACCTGCTTGGGGTGTTGGCCTACAATTCTGTTACAAGAGGAGGAGACTAAAAATGGCTCTTTTTGTTTGTTTGTTTGTTAAAGTAGTACTATATTTAATTATGTCTTCTAAACACTTTTTCAATTATAAAATACTTATATATGACATGGATTATTTCTAATTGAAAATATTTTTCATCTCTTTTAAAACAAACGTTTATTCCTTCACAAAGTTTTTATTCTTATTGATCACTTTTCAGTTTCGTTTTCTAGAATCGTTGCTAAACTAGTTATTTAAGCTTGAATTTGAGCAAGAATGAATTTTTTTTCATGTGAATGTCTTGCATCTGATGAAGTGGGCATTCACCCACGAAAGCTTATGCTCCAATACTTCTGTTAGTCTTAAAGGTGCCACAGGACCCTCTGTTGCTTTTTACAGATAAAAACTGGTGATTCATATTAAATCTTAGTGGAAGGACTTTTGCCCTGTTTCACAGAAGAAAATTCAGAAAAATCTTCTGCAACTGACTTAATCCTAAAACCACCTAGATTCCCATGCTGTGCCAAATGTCCTCAGCTCCATGTGTCTTCAGAATCAGCTCCGATTAAGAGGAGCTTGTATTCTAGAGAAATGGCACTTCCTACTAACAGATTTCTCCCTCGATGTCTTTAGAGTCACATCTGCTGAGTTCAGTAGCCAAAAATGCTGTTACTATACTGCTTCTGTTAGCCCTACAGAACCAACATAGCTGAGAATGCAGGCTGAGTTCTCTTTGTTGTGTGTTATCAACCGTTTTTTTTGTTTTTTTTTACTAAGATGCAATCAGTTATACCTCTGCAAACTTAAGGAAGAGCATAGTTTGATATTGATTAATGAAAAGAAAAAGACCCAGCTTGACTCTCAAAATCCAAGTTGAGATTGGGGGACTGGCATTTTTGGGGTGTGGGAAAGGTGGGAATCTTTGTTTGTAAAATGAGCATATTTGATAAGAAGCTGTATTGAAATAAAATAAATATAGAATTCCACAATGGCACATTTACAGTCATTTTTCAGATTATAATCTCTTTTGAAATCTGTTTCTCTTTTAGTAACTTCCCATAATTTATTTACTGTATTTGCTATTGATTTTGTTTCCTCACAGCACACTCTCTAATACGATCGTAGAGTAAAGTAATACATTGTGTGCAGTTATTTCTGTATTAGTAGACCCCTCATTTAATGGGATTGAGTAATTCAGGGGATTAGAGGGTTGTATACATGTTTTCAGATCAAGGTTTTTGATTTGAGTAAAGCCAGGCCTTTATGGACTAAATGATTATATAGTTGTGATGGCTCATCAAGTTGCCTATGTGAAATATGTTGGCGATTTTAATCTGTTTTGAATGAGATGTCTACATCACAAGTAAAATTTAGTGTTTGATTTCCCTGTATTTTTGAAGAGAGGGCTACAGCGCCCATTAAGTCACCTTAAGAATTTAAAAGAGGAAGGATGCTATTTGTAGTCATTCTGTATTCATGTTAGTGAAACTTGGACAAACCATACTATCACATTTTTGTGTCTGTTACATGTGTAAAAGTTGAATTTAGAGCTACCTTTGTTCATTTTTTATTGAACTGATGTACAAGCTATTCTATAATCTTTTTGCTGATGTTGAGAACAAAGGAATTTGGAAAAAAGATTAGGACAAATTTTCATCTGGGTCGTTAGTTAAAATCGGATTTTTTTGGACCCATAGAGGCTGGAAATTAAGGCTTTGATTCTGCATACTGCTCCACATAGGTGAAGCCATGTGCTTGCACAGTTCCATTGAAGTCACTGAAACCCTGCGTGGAGGCCGTGGTCCATTTGTGCTGAGCTTGTTGCAGAATCATTGGTTGAAGTATGGTATGACCCAGTTTTAAAAGGTAATAGACTAAAATAACTTGAATATAAAATTATTTTAATCTTAATTATGTGTTAAGTGACGTGGAATATTATTTGTTTTGGTTTGTAAGTTCTATAAAGTTGCTGTTTAGTGTCAGCTAGTCCTGATATGTACATGATTAAAATTGGGAAATCTTGATTGGTTGGTCAAATTGTTGCTGTGCTAACTTCTAAAAGTTTACCACTTTCATTTGAGTTTAAGGTTATATGTTAACTTTTTTCCAGCTAAATGGGCTTGAAGGGCGAGAGAATTTAGCCCGAGATTTAGGAATTATAGAAGCAGAAGGTACTGTAGGTGGCCCCTTATTGTTGGAAGTGGTCAGAAGATGTCAGCAGAAAAAAGGTTCCAGTAGTGGAGAAGTAAGTATTGTTAAAATGCATTACACCTTTTTTACAATTTACATTTTTATGTAGTTTATAAACTGCTTGTCTTGTCTTAGGGATGAACTGTTGGAATACTTTGTATGGAAATAGTATCTTAAGAGAGAGTTTCCATCTTCAGGATTTTCATTCCTGGGTCTTAGCTCTTAGGGTATTTTGACCCTTGAGTAGATAGAATGGGCAGGCCCCCTATTGGTCATCATTTGCCATTTCTTGACACCTATAAATATCACCATCTAAATGTTCCAGACAGTTCCTTTGGTTGCAGTTTCCATGATAAACCAGTACAAAATGAACACACAAGCAAGAATATACCTCAAATTAAAAAAGAAAACAAATTATAAAAATTGAGACACATCCATAAACATCTTCACTTCTGAGTGGAAGTGAGTGAGAGCCCTACGAGGCTGTATCTTCAGAGAAGACAAATTACATGTAAGTATTTTTATCTTTATTTAGCAAGATACCATCTGTGCAGAGTTCTCACTCTTGGGGAGTAAGTAGCTTGAGAGATGTCCCAAAAGAAGAAGAAAAATGGATAAAGCTGCAATGAGTAACAGCAAGGCCAATGCCAGCAGTGTGGATTTTTCTTTTACTAATCTATGAATATATGGCTTGATCCTGCTCCATTGAACCCGGTGTGAGTTTTGCCATTGTCTTCAATAGGAGCAGGATCAGACCTATGAAGAGGCTTTTTAATCATCCAATACATAAACGATATTTTAGTTTATAAGAGGTGTCAGCAATTAGTGAGAAACTTTGTACAAAAAAAATCAGTGAACTGAGAATAAGGAACCATTCCAAAAGAAACTAATGTTTTTAGGGGAGTGGAAATAAAAGGGCTACAAGAGTTTGCTTGAGAAATCTTTTCCAAAGAAATGGAGAACAGAGAGTCTGAAACAGGATTCCATTCTGGAAGCTGTATCAAAGGAACAGTGCTTTGTAAATATGTGGTGAAGATCGTGTTGTTGCTTTACAGATGTCTGGAGTGGAGACGCATCTGAAGCAGGCTGTGTCAGTAGCATATGCAGTTATAGCTCTTTCATTTCCTGATCTTTGAAGTTTTTAACTGTGCAAACTTAAAATTCTCAATGCTTTTTATGGTATATACACCTACTATACATGGCACTTAAATACTATGCTCACTGGTGTATTGGATTATATGTAACTACAGATGTCCATTTTACTGTAAACAGTAGCCCAAAAGAACAAAATAAAACACTAAATATTTTTAAAAACCTGCCTTCTATATGGTAAATTCTTATGAAGTGCAACTTTTGCATGGCCTCCAACCAAGAGAACAAAATCCTCTATCTTACCAAACTTCAACTTTAGGTCTATCTTAATTGAGTTACATTTGGTCTAAATTATGTTCTGCTTTTGAGATAACTCATTAAGCATTTATATTTGAATATATATTTAAGAAATACTGCTTCCTTTCCAAAACAGCTACAGCATTGCCAGTTCTAACTTCTCCCTCCTCCTTCGGGGCTAGATCTGATGGTAGCCAAGTGTAAGTTATAGGGAAGTTGTATAGGAATCTCTGCTCCTTTCTCTAGGCTCCCTGTGGCATCAGTTGCTGCTTCCTTTCTTACAGTTGGTTCATGTGAAACACTTCAGCGTCACAACTGCCTTCCTAGTGTCATCGCTCAATTAGAAACTAATTCAGCAATCCCACAAGCTGTGGGTTTCTATGTTTTTGTTGTCTGGAGAGACTCCTTGTTTAATTCATCTCTTGCAGCCTTTATTTTTAAAGTCAAGAAACGCATACAAGCTGGTTTTTGTTAAAATAGGAAAATCCGAATATGTAAACTTAACCCTGTCACTAGCATAAACTAAAGATATTTTGGTCAAAGGTGTGAAAAAACACCCCCTTAACAGACAGAAGTTTTACCAATGAAAAGCACCAATGTGGACAGTGCTTTGTCGGTGGGAGATGCTCTCCTGCCAACAAAGCTTTTGGGGGGTGGTTTTATTTTGTTGGAAGGAGAGCTCTCTTGCCAACAAGGAGTGGCTACACTGCGTAACTTATAGCCGCACCAGTATAGCGGCACCGCTGTGCTACTGTAAAGTACACAGTGTAGACATAGCCTTAGTTCTTTTTACAATTTTTTTTTCAAAATAGATCTAATTACTAGAATGTCTTTATAGAAAATGAGAACAGCTTTCCATTATAATTAGGAATGGAATGAGATTCTGTACAACTGCTTAATCAAAAATGTTCTCTATCTGCTGTACTTCATCATAAAGTGTTATGATAACAGCAATTTAATATAATAAGAAAAATATTTAACATGTGTTAAGAGGATGCAATGATGAATTCTGATTTTTTGATCCTGATGCAATCAACAAACAAACATTCAGTGTGAGATGTAGATTAATTTACTACTTGGTTTCTAATTTAGCTTCCTTCAGTCAAACACTTGTGACTGGTTAGTGTTTATGCAGTGTACTATGTGCAGTATAAAAGATATTACCTCACCCACCTTGTCTCTCTGGTTAGTGTTTAGTTAACTATTGGCACATTCCTAGTTGTAATGAAAATCCGTACTATCTGTTAATCTGAAATATTGCTGTTCTGTTTAAACCGGTTGTATTTTTCATCAGAAGTATTTTTAAAAGAAAACTGAAGCATTTGTATGACAAAATATTCACTGAGATGAATATAGTGAACTTAGAGGGGATCTCCAAATTTAATGGGGTCTGCGCTGTAAGCAGAGAGAATGAAATCCAGGTGATAGCATTTATTATCATTCCTGGTCAGGATAGTCATTTAAACAAAAGAATGTTTACCAGACTTTCAGAAGTAGTGCATTCAGCTCTTTCACTTACACCAAGAATGTGTTTAAATACGCACTAATAAATTAGCCAGAAGAAAACTTAATTTGAAAATAGTTCTGGCTTAGAATTGCTAAAGTGGCTGCACAATGTCACAATTTGTATGTAGTGAACGGCAAAGAGTTTTGCACCCTTCGTTGTCGTCATTTGGCATTCTGACACAGTCTTATAGAATCTTAAGTATGTTATTTCTTTGTGCAACTTTGGTTTAGGTAGCTCCAGTTCTGTCTGACATGCGTTCTTCACCAAAATCACCTGATGGAAGATCAATTACACATCCAATATCAAGTAAGGTAAGTTAGCTACATAAAAGGAAACGCTAAATAATGTAACATTTTTTGTTAAAGTGCATTAAAAAGAGGGTTTTTTAATGTAAAAGACTATTATTGCAGAAATGCTGACTGATTCATTTAGCAGGAATCTTTTGGCCATCATACTCAGCTGGTTGAGGCTCTGGTCTTCCTTTTCCAAACATTTTTGAAATATAGAAGAGCTGTGTAAATCCTTGTGTAGTGACAGTGGAAGTTGAAATATTGGTCATTGGCTTTAATTTATCAATAGTGCCTTAAATGGGAGATGAATAACCAAGCTCTTAAATAAATGGTCTTTGCTTGGTGCTAATCATCCATTTTTCAGACATGAAACTGTATGCTTAAATTGAAGGTGCTCAGTCTGAAAGTATTTAGTTAGTTGCAATGTCTAAATGACTTTCTGCATATTGTTTTAATGTAAAATGTTGACGGTTGTCATAGGACATGTTGCAGCATGCTGTTAGATAAGCAGTACAAAAAATTTGGTGTCGTGGCAAATTATAGCCAGCTTGTGGGATTGTTCAGCACAAGGTGAGGGGCTAATTGTCACAACAAGTGATGATATCACATCATGAGATAAACACTGATGTGTTCAACTGTGTTAACGAAGTGACCCTGTGCAATTTCTATTCAAAACAAAAAAAGACTATTCTGGACACTTGTGCTCATCCAGGGTTAGTCCACTTCACTTTCTGCTCAATAACAAGGTTTCCTTTTTTAATTTTTATTTTAGATGCGTAAAAACTGAAACTAGTTTTCTTGCTTCCCATTTTACTCCAGTTTTGGGGAATTGGAATGTGGATGTGGAGTACATGAAGTGGTGTATTCCAGCAGTAGTTTCAAAGTCATACTGTTTCCTTTTTCCCTCTGATATATGTATCAGCAGTTCTGAATGACACATCACATACAGCTTAGTCTCTAACCATCCTCTTGCTTCCCAAAAATACTTTAGAATAGAGAACAACAAAAACTTGATTCATTTTTTTGTATGTAAAAATAAAAACTAAATTTTAAAAAGAAAATTCTTGTGATAAAGGAAGGGGAGTCCAATTGCTGAAATTATATATAAAATAGGATAGACTAGTACAGCTTATGGAGGAGGGGACAGAAAAACTCACATGGTAGAAGCTGCTTAATTGGAACACCTTGGTGAATTCCCATCATCTTGATTTAACAGCTGTTTCATTTAAATAGTTTCCCCAAACATTACTTAAGATCATCACCATATGTTTCTGCAACTTGAATCACTTAACTGATGCTTGGTTATATACTAGCTATATTTTTACTGCATAGATCGTACTTTAAAATTGGTAATTTATTTCAATTATCAAAACATTAAAATTGGCACAAACTATACATCACTGAAACTATACATCACTGGCTGTCACTATGTTGAACAGAGCAAAAGTGTACTGATGAATTTTAACTTTCATTAACACCTGTATCTGTATTAGGCCAGAAGTCATCCCAGCAAAGTACCTTTGAGCAAGTACACTTCTTTTAAAGCAACAACATACTTATTCAGTTTAATAGGGAAAACTTGTTTTCAGAACTCATTCCACTAAAGTAATTATTCACATCTTATATAAATGGCTTCAGCTGCCACTCAAATTTAAAAAAAACAAGTATATCTGAATAAAGCACATTACAACTGAAGGCATGTTACAACATTTTTTAAAAAGTTTGAAATGTCAGAGTGCATAGCAAGAAAATAATCAAGAAAACTAGTAATGAGTGGCTGCTTTGGAATTTTTCATTCATTTCTTTTGTTTAAGAGAGTGGAAATTATAGAAGAGCATTAGGAAAGTCTTTGCTTATTGGAAGTGCCAGTTTGTCTTGTAATGCTTTGTAGCCTAGTAAACAAAAATAAGTCTGATTGATGCCATCTCAGCTTATCATTGCTTTTTAACCAGCTATCAAATACAGTTTCTTAATCCTGTTCTTTAAGTATTTTGTGCACTTGTGCGTGTCAGTTAGGTAACCTTTGTTCAACGTTTGGTGTTCAAACCCCCAGAAAAGGAAAGTAGAAGAAATATTCATAATTGCAAATAACAGTTTTAACTCTGAAAGCTAACATACGTATTAAAGATTGGCATTTTTAATAGACTTGAGAAGTAGTACAGTGATCATTACAAATAAAATGTACCAAGTGTTTTCATACAGTAAAGTATAATACCCTTTAAACATATATTTTAAAAAAAACTTATTAAAACGGACAAGAAAAAGTGTTAAAATCCCTTAAGACAGGGAGGATTTCATTCTGACACATCAGTGTATGTGCCTCAGTCGCTTCCAGATTACATTTACTTAAACAGGTTATAGTTAGAAAGTGGGGAAAAAAATAAAAAGAGCCAGGGGAGATGGTTGATATTGAGCACTTGTATAGAGCTTCACATTCAAAGGACTGAGCAAATACTAATCCTAACAACAATCTCGTGGCATAGGCGAGCCCCATTTTATAAATTATCTACATGCAATTTATATAAGGTTGGAGTTTTTACCAGATATGAGACCCTACTGATGCCAGAATCTTGTCTCCGGTTATTCTTGCTCAGAAGTTTTAGAATCTACTTAAGACATTACCAAGCATTTATTGATCAAATATATCCATTTTGGTCATTCTAAAAGGGAATTCAGGGGAGTACAGTTGTTCATACAAGATCCTTAATCTCATACTGATGGCCAGGACACCCTGAAATCAAGCTGTATGCCAGTCCAGGGTAACTGCTTCTTAGAGAGCAAACAAGCAAATAATCAGTTACTTTTGGTGCTGGCATTGCCTTGACAGTATAATTGGCTTTCCTGTTTCCTGAATGTCTACAAACTCCATTTTAGTAAATATGTGCAATACTTTGACATACTGAACATATAGTATTGAGTTGTTCCCTGAAAATAGGCATATAAATGACAAAATTATCCAGAAAATCAGTCATTCTTACAGAGCTTTTGTGCAGTTTGTGTGCAGTGGATGCTTCTGCTGGTTCTTGATTTAGAAATTATCTTTTGTGTCTAATTACCCACTGTGCTTTTTATGATACCAGGCCCACTTGGTATACTTCCAAGGGTTCTGAGGAGCTTAAGTATAAAGTGTTGAACCACTAGCAAAACTGTGCGATCTCTCATTAAAAACAGCTACTGTACCGGAGGATTGGAGGATAGCAAACGTGCCTATGTTAAAAGACTCAATGGATGATTTGTGGAATTACAGAGCAGTAAACCATATATCTGTACCTGCTAAATAGGGTAAAATTATAATTAAAAAATAGAATAATAAAACACCTGGAAGATCATATTATGTTAGGATCTAACTAGCATGGTGTCTGCATAGGAAAATAGTATCTCACTGATCTACTAGAATTCTGCAACATGTCAAAGTAGTGGATAAAGTTGACATAATTTATTTAGACTTTCAAAGGTCCTATGACAAGATGAGAAATGAAATCATGGGATGAGAGGCAAAGTATTGGATCATAACCTGGCTAAGAGCAAAAATAAAAGGAAAAATTTACTCATAGCAAAAGGTTGACAGGAGGATGCCTCAAGGTTACATGTCATATCCAGTGTTTAATACATTTATAATCTGGAATAGGGGTGAGCAGGGAGATATCTAAATTTAGATAAGACACAGTTCTTTGAGTGATTGCACGTCAATTCCACTTCAGAGAGGGGTGTGTGTGTGTGTGTGTGCAGTTGTCAGAGATTTTTCCGTCAGTGGTACCTGTTTGGATGGCACGTGCGCCCTTTGCTGCATGTGCCACCTTGCAAAGATATAAAGGATAGAGCTGCTGCCTACCCCCCTCAGTTCCTTCTTACGGCCTTTGACGGTTGTTGGAAAGTGTGGTTTTGCTATTGCAGGTTTTTTCCGATGTTTATATGGTTGTTACTTGTTTTAGTAATTTCAGTAGTTTAAACTGTTTACGGAAATGAGTTTTCTTTTGAAGTGTTTGTAAATATTTTGGTTCCATTGTTGGGTTATGCCTTGGTTACTGGGTTTCAAGCCCTGCTTTCCTTCAAGAAACTGATGCCAGTGAGTGACTTGCAATCCAATTGCCTGAAGCGTCTTGGGGAATCTCACATCAGGGACTGTTTTCAAATTTGCAGGGACTTTAATCCAAGAACCAAGACAGACAGGGAGCCTGGCTTAAGTTTCTTCTCACGGAGACGGCTTTGTGTCCACCCTCAGAGTGTTCCCACTCAGGGTGGGTACCGAGTGCATCCGTGTCAATCAGGAGTGCTCTGCCTCCCAAGTACTGAGGAAGAGCGACCAGAAGATGGTATGTAAGGGCTCAGTATCTGGGAGAGCTAGGTACAAGGACAACAGAGTGCACTTGAGGCCAAAGTGCACTCCGAGACAGTCCATCTGCTCAGCAGGGACTATCAGCATCGGCACCTCTGAGGTGGCTTCGTCTGGTTCAATGGTACAGGAGACTATCCCAGTACTGTCTACTCCGGAAGCTTATGCGGCAGCATGGGACCTACTGAGTGTCTCAGGGTCAGCTTTGCTAACAATCCAGGAGTCTTCTTGCCCAGTACCAGCACCTACTGTAACTGTATTGTCCCAGCAGATGGTACCGTCCATGCCTCCAGTCTTCCGCCTGCCTCTTTGCGTGCTTCTACTGTCCAAAGGGAAGCTGGCCATGATCTTACCATTACTGCTGTCTCCGGGCTCCCAACATTAATCCCCAGCACCAATGGGAATAGCCCCTTTCTAAGAGGCTGATTTATCTTCGGACTCTGAGGTTGTCTCTTTGTCGCAGCCACACCAGGAACAACTCCGTTCCTCTTCCACCACCTACCATCCTTGGCATCCCCTGGAGGATCTATCTTGGCCTTCAAGAGAAGACCCATGGCCAGGAGGAAATTGGGCTTCAGAGCCTTATCAGTGGCCTTGTTGGGAGGATTGTTTCATGCCCTTCCTGCTCTTTTTTTCATTGAGTGGGCACCAAGATTTACCATACCAATTGCAGCGGGAGACCACTCCT